GCATGGCTTTCTCAAATTCATCGGACCAATGTAAGAAGTCGAAATAATCATAAATACGGCGTACAGTACCAATAGGATCTCGCACCAAATCCTTATATTGAATATCAAAGATATTCTTTGGTGGTGGCTGTTGAGTGCGAAACTCTATAATTCTTTGTATCCAAATATCAAGAAGAGACATTGCTTGTTCAAAAGTTGTTTTCATACTTTGTGAATCGTTTGCATTGAAATAAATACTATTATAGTTAAGAAAAATGCGGCATGCTGATGGTATCACTTCATCAAGATGACGATGAGACATAATAATCGATACTTGTGGGTAATATTTGAGAAGTGAATCTATCCATAATGTATGCAGAGGAGATTTGAGTTGCCAATGTGTTTGTGGTGGATCAACATCGTGTAACATTTGTAGCACAGTCCGATGATATGCATAGGCAAAATCTTTGTTCTTATCAGCAAACCATGCAACCATGTTGGTATCTTTCGGAGCAACAAGAGAAACTGAACCTTGTGGACCAACTTCTTCCAGTAAAACGACATCTTCTTCATACACAAACTCTGGATGCGATGCAACTCGATCCTTTGCGATTTGTTTTCGATCATATCCTGCAGTCTCGTATACTTTCTCTAAACGATCTTCTTCATCTTCCATTCGTCGTTTATGTTCAGTAATATTGGAGCGTAAAATAGGTGGAATTGGTTGTGTCGTTATATCGGTGATAAAAGGAGCACGGCAAGTTGGATCACAAGCCATTAGATTATGTAATAATGTTGTGCCAGTGCGAAGCATACCGCAAATAACAATTATAGGGACTTCAGTGATGTTTTGTCTAGATTGTACTGCTGTAGAGGCCAAATAATTTAGTACAGACTTAACATTTTCGTGTTTACGACTGATTGCACAACAGAGTATATGTCTTGCTGCAGGTGTCAGATTTTCGTTTGCAAGAGCATTATGGCCGTAGAAATTGAGACTATTGAGAATATCAGTATGGAAAGGAAATTTCTGTTTGGCGTCATGGCTCAGATTATCTTCATTTAGATGGAAATCTTGCACGAGTTGTGTTTCTTTTTTGTCTTGACTATTCATTTTTTTTATCGTCAGAAAAACAGTGTAAAAACAATCTAAAAAATCGAGACGTGTCACGTGTCAATACTAGATACTTCATCAAGATGCTTTGAGCTGATCTTGATTGGTAATATATTTCTAATTTAGACATTTTCAACGTAAACGGATGACCGATTTTAGTTACTCTTGTGTCTTACTAGTAAATGGTTGAATGATCTGCACTAGTAAGTGAAGCGTCTTGTATGTGTCTTTTCTAGACACTTTAGTTGATCTGAAATCTATAATGTATTCGAATAATTGAAGTAAGGATGGGAAAGAATCTTTTGCTAAAAAACGTATTAAAAGAGAAGTTTAGATATTATATTTATGAGAACCAAATACTTCCAAATGTAACCATCATTAAAACGATGAAACTATTCAGTAAAAATTTAGTTTTCCCAAAAAGTTTCATATTTTTCAATGATGAAGTTACATTTGGAAATATTTCGTTTTCCATAAATATAAGTTCTTGACTTTTCTTCTTAAACATTTTCCAGTGAAAGATATTTTTCAATTCTTAATTTGTTTATTTCTATAAGCTCATACAATGGTCTATCTGAATTCTTTCTAATTCAAACATAAAAAGCACTTCAGTTTTATCAGAAATGGAGGGAGAGGGCTGGAGTGCTAACGATAAGTAGTTCCTTTTCGTAAGACCATGAAATTTTGGGAGTCTGAAGGTCTACAGCTATTCCCTAGGGAAAATCTTTGATGTTTCTTTTCCAGATCCTTCACAGATCCGTCAAGGATCTTGCAAGGATTCGGGTGTGGGTGTGGGTGTGGGTGTGTGCGTGTGGGTGTGGGTGTGGGTGGGTGAGTGTGGTGTGGGTGTGGGTGGGTGGGTGTGGGTGTCAAACTTCTCTTCATTCACACCCACACCCACACCCACGCCGAATAAAGCAAGATGTTACTGCTCAAGGTACGAAAACACAGAAACTCCAACGTGTCGACGACTTTGTTTATACGGAATTTATTCATGCTCGAAGATGCTGTTTATAAATACACGATTCTGATTTAAGGCGCTTGGCTATCAAAAAAGCACATAATTTAAATCTGGTCGGTTTTACGGCATCTCCTCATTGGGTATTAAACTTCAAACGTCGCCATCACATTTCATCAAGAAAAGTGACAAAGCGGGTAACCAAAAATCATTTGGAAGACCGAGATAAAATATTAAAATCTGTCGAGCGTTTTGTTAAAACAGTAAAAAATACTATTCCAGATTATGCTGAAGATCATATATTGAACAGCGATCAAAGCAGCTTTAAGTACGTTATTTATAAATGAAAGAAAATTAAATAGAAAATAATTTCTGATCGTTCAGCTATGACAATCCATCAACACGGACGCTAGTAACAATCGGTGAAAAAATAATTAAAGACCAGGTCAAATCAATGAATTCTGTTACTTATTCATACACGATTATGTCGATTATTAGTATGGCTGAAAAATTAATTGGTCCGGTTTCTATATGTTTACAAGAGCCTACAGGGAAAATCGGACCGCGAATTAAATAGTCAATCTTTCAAGCGAGCAATATTCATGTTACGTGCAGCAAGTCTGAAAAATTAACGAAAACACATATTCAGTATTGGGCTGAAAATGTTTTAAGTTCATGTATTTACAAAGATTGTTTACTGCTACTAGATCCCTGGTCTGGTCAAACAGATTCCAGCATTTATGATGATATTTTCGCTGAACATATCACTTGTAAGCAAATGCAAATTCCACCAAAAACAACCGGAGATATTCAACCATTGGATCGTTATTTTTTTCGACAATGGAAATATTTGAAACAAAAAATTTATGATCACGTGGCAACTGACCAAATGGAGGTTGATATCTGTTCTAGAAACTGCATTTTAAAAAGGCATTCTTTGATACATAATCAATTAGCAGCTAAAAGGTTTTCACTCTTGATGAAATATGCCTGGTATTCAAGTGGTTATATATCAAAAGATACTGGTCAGTTTGAGAGTGTACATGATGTATGTTTTTCTTTCAACGAAGATTTCTGTTCTAGACCAGCGTGCAATGACTTTTCTTTCATTTTCTGCAGCCACCGTCGTCGTATCCTTTGTTTTCACCATTTTTTGTAGATGATCATAAACATGAATAAAAACGTCTCATCTGTCATGAAGTAATGCGTTATCTCTATTCATATGAAAACTGATATAGATTTTAAATCAATCGTTTTCAAAACACAAAGCGGTTGTATTCTTAGTATCGAATAGAGTATCTTCAAAAAAAGACAACATTTTGCGAACACGAAGTCATACTTCCGAATATACCTAAAATAGTCAGTTGATCTTTTTCTTCGAGCAATCGCGCAAAAATAAACGAGATAAGCTATTATGTAGACCTACTTTCTCTCTATAAAACGGCGCGCAACTTAGCTTCAATCATCACGAGTAAAGCAAAAATCCTTGAGAACACCATCCAGAAAAAAATCTATCAGAAAAAAACTTATATAGCGAAATACATGTGTTAATATTTTGAAAAGTGTTTTGCCTATAATTTTTTACTAAGGTAGTAAGAGCACCTAATTGTTTCACACTTGAGATAGGCATACTTAGGTCAACACATCCACATGATTTCCATTGAAATCTCCGGGACACACCTGGAGATGTTCCCTTGTCAGCCAAAAACGCTAAAAATTTTGATTTAGAGATGTAAGGGTGATCAAGATGCAGATTTCAAATGAAAAAATAAAATTTTGATCAGTGCCTCAATTTCTAGCATGATACTCGATGTTCTTGTGGAAGCTCTCTTAGCGTATAAATTATTTTCTAAACTGTTCTATTCTAACTTGATCACCATATGCTTATCTAAGCTCTGTCAATGTGAACATCAAATCTGTTCCTTCGAACATCATGAATCTTCGCAAGAATGTCTTCCATCGACAAGAGGAAAAAATATCAAACAACAAACAAACTACGAAGATTCAGATCATGAGCTCGTATGGCGAAGTCTCATATATATCAGCTTCGCAGTCTTTCCAGCAATGCTAGAGTTCAATTTGATAATTTTCTCTCTGATCAATCTCATGTTATTGTCAATATCGATGGTCAACAAAGACGAACAGTTGCTGGGTTGCTTTCGAAAGAGAAATCGATCTTATGAGCTGATGATTGGAAATGTATTAAGGACAAAAACTGACAAGGTAGCATTCCCAGGTACTCATTCGCTTTTGAGCCGAGACTTAGTGCATCTTGTAGATCTTGATGAACTATGTTTACCATAAAACGAGTTTGTGTCTCTAGCCTATTTTAGAAGCGATCGAACGTTTTTACTGCTATGACTGAGTCATTTTATTAGGAAAAAAATCACCATCTCAACCAATATAAAGCATGTTCCATGATAACCGAAAATAAATTGTTAATGATATTTTTCACATTTTTGTTTGACATAGAGTGCTGAAATTTTTTTCATAAATCTATCCGATCAAGGTCTTTTATTGCTGAAAGTTTCGGATCTCTAACTATAACTAGTAGT